GAAGAAGAAGAAGAAGAAGAAGAAGAAGAAGAAGAAGAAGAAGAAGAAGAAGATAAACTGACGATGATAAGTATGCACCAGCACTAAAGCGAATAACGGAAGAGTCGCAAACGACTTTATGCCTCAGATACGCGAGTTTTGCAGCGACTTCCCGCCACAGTTGATGACTTCCGACACTAGGGAAAGAGAATCGATGGCATATGTCACATTTGTAAACCGTGGGCTTTTGTCACTTAAACAAATTATCCTTGTTTCTCCGCTGGCATTTATGTCAGTTTTCCTGACTTCTGATTGGGTAAGCTGCGGCAAAGTTGCCGGTTAGCGCTATCTATAGGACTGCTCGAGTTTTCGGAGCCTCGTATAGTTGAGGCGGAGGTTTAGTGGTGTGAAGAGGTGTGGTTTTGTTTGGGGTGTTTGTGTATTTAGGGGTTTGTGTGTGGGGTTTGTGTGTGTGTATGTGTGTGTGTATATGTGTGTGTGCGTGTGTGTGTGTGTGTGTGTGTGTGTGTGTGTGTGTGTGTGTGTGTGTGTTTGTTTAACAATCCTTCATTTTTCAACTAAGTTTTGGTTCCAGTTATAAAAAGCAGCCCAAGCCCGATATTATAGCTTCATCAGACAATGGCATTTTAAAAAATCGACTAAGTGCATGAACCTATTCTAGTCGACTTACAGCCGTAACAAGCTTGAATAACTACTTGACCCCTATTTAAGTGTTTGTAATGCAGATTATTATGCTGATTTATTATGACCGTCAGCTGGTGATGTATCAGACTTGCCAGCTTCGCATTCAACGTACTTATTAAAATTTCGTTCGCGAATCTTAAAGTAGGGGGTTTCACGCTCGCCCGGCGAGTGGGGATTTCCGCTAAAATCCCAGTTTTTTCTCTTTCTCGGCTCATAACTTTATTCGTTCTTAGCCTAGCATCATAAAACCAAAATGAAACGAGAGGTCTATATGTGCTTTTTGTTGCCATGTTAGTTTCAATGGGGGGAGAAATGTGTAACATTATCGATTTTTGAGTTAAAACTACAAGGTACGTTATGCGTTCTACCGCAAAGCGTGGCACACAAATTTTGACAAATTTAGAGTGCAGCGCGTTTCGGGCCGTTTATTCGAGCTGAATTTTCGTTGGCTAATCGTTTTTGGTGACCTTAGAAATCACGTGATTCTGTAGTAGAATTGGACGCTGAAGGGTTTGCAACCCACCCGGAGTGTGTACGACGCTTGTGTATAAAGTTATAGTAAAATATATTTTTTATCTTCAAAATTCTTTTTCATTAATAATAGAAAACGCTCCCCGGGGACGTTATATTGATAGATAAATCATTTAGCTCTCTAGAAATGTCATTTTTGTTAAAAATGATTAAAGTTTTGCAGAAGAAATTCGAACTTTACTACCCTACCCTAGTTCACTTCGAAAGGTAAAAAAAAAAATCACCCGCAGAGCCAGAAGTCAGGGGCAAGTAACTCTGGATTTTTAATGTAACTGGAGTAAACAAACAACCTGTCATCAAAGGTATGACTAGTTTAGGTAGTACAAAGGTGACCAAAATTATTATTAACGGCCAAAGATACTTCTTTATATTTGAATACTGAATATAAGAAAGTTGAAACTAAAATGAAATTTTCAAAGTCAAAGGAAATTGGAAAATGTGGTGGGATTTGGTCTTCCTCCAATGTGATTAAAAAGAGTGAAATCGTATCAATCCAAGAAGGAAAAGATTGATTGAAGAAAGCGCAGGTCAAGTACTAGAAAATCTTGATCGATGGGCGGTAGGGGGGGGGGGGGGGTGGTCAGGTCAAAATGCGTTTTCCCAGACTCTGTGTGCATTACGCTAGCATCTGCGTTTGTCGCGGCCGCGACCCGCGAATCGTATTTTTTGGTCCGCGAATCGCGGCCGCGATTTTTGCATAAGTTTTCAAAAAAGACAAAACAACAAAGCTACTTCATAACATATTAGACATGTATTTTGATAAGTTTTAAGATGTCCATGTGTACCTATTTTCATGCGGATAATATAAGTACATTACATTACATACTGTTTATATTGCTGTCTTTTATTTTTCCCTCTTTGTTGTGTTTTAATTTGTTGGTGAGTTAATTTTTCTAAAAATTGTTCTGATGATTCGTTTTTCTTTTTTGTCGTCTTTACAGCGTAATGTCATTTGTGAGGCATCGTGGTGGAATCAGGCTCTCGTCAATTGTTGAGCTTGTAGAGTTATTGGTATCATCTTAAAGCTTGTTCACTTGTCTTTATTTGGATGAAAAAAAGATCCTTTTATCTTGAATGCGAGTCGAGATATTAGCGAAAGAAGGAGGTGGGGGTCACGTGTTTTCAGAGGTAAAATTAGTGAGAAAACGGCCGTCAAAGATTAGTAATTTCCTTAGCTTAAGAGTCCGTGGTAACTGAAAATTTACATTTTTTGTGCCTTTAATCAACGTTTTTCGAAAAATCCAGACAGAAATGAGTTCTTTAATGAGCATGAAAGATGTTGAGCCCCCCCCCCAAAAAAAAAATTGATAAAAATTCACAAACCTGCGGAAAAATGCATGTTTCTTCACTTTGATTATTTTGACGAGAGCCTGATTCCACCACGCCGCCTCACATTTAATTTAATGCTGTTCCCACCCTTTAAAAAATATAAATGTGTTATGTTAGAGCGTGTCTCCTCCAAAACCGAACACTGACACTGGCACACCCCCAATTGTGTGTGATTCCATAATATGATTTACATGTGGTATCCTGCAAGCCTACTTTTTTCTTGAATTATACACGTTTAAGGTTAAAACAGCCAATCTTCAGATAGGTGGACACACGCCCTGATTAGTTAATTTTTGTGGTTATTTATACGTGCTATTCTAATTTTGATTTCATTCTATTGTGAAACCTTTTATTTTCAACGTTTTTACCCTCTTGGTGACTACAATTATGATGTCCTGGATGCTCAAAACAGAGCACAAGAAATTCTGGTGCTATAGATTGTTACATCTATCAACATATTGCTATATTACGTCGTTACAGAGAGTTGAAAGCTTGAAAATTAATGGCAACTTTTTGGGCAACTTTTGCCATTTTTTGTGGCAACTTTTGGACAAAAATTGGCAACAAACGCAGATGCTAGATTACGCAGTAGTCATTTGGTGCAGAGTTAAAAAATAAATTGAAAAATCTTGATGATAGGTTCACTTGGCAGCCAGGAAAGGTGAAATAATAATTAGTATTGAGCTCCTCAGAAGAAGGATACTATTATTATGATTGTTGCTCCTGCCAAGTACAGTGGTTCAGAAGCC